TCTCCTTGTTGATCGTCAGGAGACGATCATTAAAGGGGGGGTACTGTCATGATTTGTCAGTTTTCACCTTAGTTTTCCTTAGTGTTTTTTATGTTCCCCAGTGTGTCTCAGCCCAGCTGCCCCACATTTCCTTGATTGTCACCCTTGTGTTTCTCCCCAGGTGTTTTCTGTTTAGTAATTAGTTTTCTGTGTATTTAAGCCCTGTCCTGTCTCRGTCTTTTGTCGGATCATTGTTGTGTTTTGCACTGTCTGTCCTGGTTCCTTGAGCTTTGTTCCCCTCGTGCTTGTGATCTACAGTATTTGTAAGTTTGCTGCCAGCAGMCCTCTTTTTGTTAATTATTAAACCTTTTTGTTACATTTTTGAAACCTTGCCTGCGCCCTGGGTCGGTCTCGTCACCAAACCCGTTATTTTCAGCCTTGACAAACAGTTTGTTCTGGAGTAGTCAGAGAAGAATGGCTCGAACATGTTGGTGGGACTCAAGATCTTTGGAAAAGATAAGAATGTCATCTAAATAAACAAAGGCATTGACATTAATGGAATCTCTTAGGACATCATTTACTACTGCTTAAAAGACAGCCAGGGCGTTAGTAAGCCCAAAAGGCATGACTAGGTATTCATAATGTCCAGTGGGGGTATTAAACGTGGTCTTCCACTCGTCTCCTTCTTTAATTCGTACCAAGTGGTACGCATTTCTGAGGTCCAGCTTGGTAAAAATCTAAGCTCCCGGAATAAGATCAAAAGCGCTACACATGAGGGGTAGAGGGTATTTGTTCTTGATGGTTAGTTCATTTAAGCCTCGATAATCAATGCAGGGGTGCAAAGACCCATCCTTTTTCTCTACAAAGAAGAAACCTGCCCCAGCGAGAGAAGAGGATGGCCGTATGATACCAGATTTAAGTGAATCTTCAATTTAATCCCTCATAGCTTGACTTTCGAGTTGGGACAATGAATACAACTTCCCCCTGGGGGGAATAGAACCTGGAAGGAGGTCTATGGGGCAGTCATAGGGCCTGTGAGGAGGGAGAGAAGTTGTTTTACTTTTATTAAACACTTCTCTTAAATCCTGATAAACAGATGGAACTTGTTTTAAATCAGGACTTGGTTCCTTAGTGACATGAGAATTCTCAGAAGAGGTAGCATTTAATAAACAATTAGCCAAACACTGTTCAGACCACTCTACAATTTCTTTATTTACCCAATCAATATGAGGATTGTGTTTTTGCAACCAAGATGTTCCTAAAACGATTGGTAGTTGTGGTGAATGAATGACCAAGAATTGAATGCTCTCATGATGGTTCCCCCCGATGGACAATTTCATGGGTTCAGTTTCCGAACTGGTACTGCTTAGGTGGTGACCATCCAGGACGAGTACCTGATGGTTTCTTTGGGAGGGGAGAATCTGGATCCCCTGGGAAAGAGCAAAGTCCTTGTCAATAAATTCACTATCGACTCCAGTGTCTATGAACACTTTGAAAGCGTCTTACCTGCCACAGATAAATCTGCAGGTAACTGTAGTAGAGTTTGACTGACTGAAGCTAGACTCAGGATGTGACTCCTGGAGGTTCTTTGATTTTTGCGAGGGAAAGAAAAAACAACGTGACCTAACTCACCACAATGAAAGCACAGTCCTTTCATTCTTTGCTCCTTTTCCTCTTGGGAGAGTTTCAATCTGCCAATCTGCATGGGTTCAACTGTGTTTGATGCACCTCTGCCTTCTGTGATTGGGTTGTGTGATGTGAACCTGTAGGTAGGATTGGGATCAGAATTTCTTGGGGTACCTCTTTTAGTGTGTCTTCGCTCATGTAACCTCTTTTTGGCAAGATGGCGCCGGTGTGTGTGGCTGCTCGTCTGTCATTCTTACGTTTGCTGATGTTTATACTGTTTCTGACCTGTGTCATCTACGGAACTGAGTCTCTGCTGGTGTACGATCGTAACACACTGATAGACCTCTAACCTTTGGTCCAGGATATGGAGTTATTCAATGTTGCTGGCCAACAATCCTTCCCCCTGCTTCTGTCGGAGATTCCGAACCACTTGTTCCGGAATCCTGCGCTGCTTTCATGATGGAGACTTTATCGTCGTCGCGGTAGATGAAGCGGCCGGCTGGTGAAGCTGAAGTTTTACATGACGCACTGTTCTGCTTTTACCCGATCATCGCATGGATCGTTTCTGGGCTCTCGGGTGCCTCGGCGTTTCTTGGATCCCGTTGATGTCTGCTTGGTGCCAGTGGTGGGCGTTCAAGCCCCTCTACACCGCCATCCCTGCCCTTCCCGGCTCAACATGCGCCAACTGTGTCTCCAAAACCTGAGACCACTGTGCCGAGTTTCCCTACCTGTCGAAGCCCAGGATCCAGTTCCTGTCAGGATTGGCCTGATAAACGCCAGATCGCTTGTGAATAAAACTTTTATTCTTTGGGACTTTTTTAGTCGCCAAAACCTGGATTTTTTATGTGTGACTGACACGTGGCTGAGTGTTGGTGAGTCCAGTGCTCTATCTGAGCTTTTACCAGTGGATTGTTCTTATTTTAACTCACCACGGGCTTCGGGGAGAGGGGGAGGCACAGCAACTGTTTATAAACAGGACTACAAATGTAAGCAGTGTTTTCTAAAGACATTATTCCCCAGCTTTGAGTTTACGTCTTTTGAGATGAGACACGTAAACCCAGTTTTCTGTGCTGTCATCTACCGCCCCCCCAAATACAATAAGGATTTTATAAGTGACTTTTCTGATTTTTTTTTTATCTAGGATTTTAACTAACTATCAACATGTTCTTATTGTTGGAGACTTCAATATACACATGTGCTGTCCTGATAAGCATTTGGTAAAGGACTTTTTAAGCCTTTTGGACTCTTTTAACCTGGTACAAGCCATTTCCGGCCCTACACATGGACACGGACACACACTGGACCTGGTTATTTCCTGCGGTCTGCCTGCGACTAACCTGGAAATCTGTGACTCTGTGTTCTCGGATCACCTGCTTGTTTTATTCACCGTTACTTTGACACCTACTGCAGTTAAATCTCGCGCTGCTGTTCGGCGCTGTCGGATTATTAACCCTTCCACTGCCACTCAGTTCTCTGTTGCTTTTCTTCAGCTCTGTGGATCATCTGACTTCCTCCACTTCRAAACAGAAGAGCTCTGGTCCTGGCTCTATTCTTCCTGTCAAACCATCCTGGACTCGGTTGCTCCATTAAAAACAAGGCAGCCAAGGATCAAACCTGAGCCTTGGTTTAATGACAGAACTAGTGCTGTAAGGAAGGAATGTCATTGTGCTGAACGCAGATGGAAAAAGGATAAACTGCAGGTTACTCTTCAGATTTTAAAAGACTGTTGGCGTCTCTACCAGAGCACGGTTAAAGAGGCAAAAAGGGAATATTTGGCTAATATCATTACCTCAAACAGCCATAACCCAAGTGTTTTATTTCACACCATTGACTCTGTGATTAATATCCTGCAGGATGCCTATATGGAAGCTTCTCCTGACGTGTGATAATTTTATGTGTTTCTTCATTGAAAAGGTTGGTAGTACCAGGGCTCTTATCACAGCTCCTGACTCCGACCCCTCAGTTTCAGTCCCCTGCTCTGCTGCTTTCAATCAATTTGAGCTTGTGACCATCTCACTTTTAGGGGACGTGGTTGGCCGCATTAAGCCATCAGGTTCCCCCCCATGATCCTGTCCCTCCACGATTTTTTAAAGATATTTTATCTAGCATAGGGCAGCCTGTTCTTGCAATTATAAATAGCAGTCTGTCCTCAGGTGTGGTCCCTGCTAGTTTTAAACATGCAGTAGTGCAGCCACTGCTTAAAAAACCTGGCCTTGATCCCACAGTTCTGGCTAATTATTGGCCTATTTCAAAGCCGTCTTTTCTTTCTAGGGTTTTAGAAAAAATTGTGTACTGTCAGCTGACACAGATTTTAGATGACAATGGCATTCTGGAGGTTTTTCAGTCAGGTTTCAAAACTCTTCATAGCACAGAATCTGCTTTAATTAGAGTTTTTAATTACATCATCTCTGCATGTGATTCTGGTAACCATGTTCTGATTTTACTTGACCTAACTGCTGCCTTTGATACAGTAGACCACAACATTTTAATATCGCGATTACACCACGTTGTTGGTGTTGATGGCACTGTTGTTAAATGGTTTAGGTCTTACTTGGAGGAGAGAACATTTTCAGTGAAAATTAGTGACTCTGAATCATCTGCTGCTTCAATGCCTAATAGTGTCCTGCAGGGCTAAATTCTAGGCCCTCTGCTTTTCTCTCTTTATTTACTGCCTCTGGGTTCTGTCCTCAGCAAACATGGGATTTCTTTCCATTGTTATGCTGATGATTGTCAGATTTATTTGCCCATGAAGCAGAAGGATGTCCATTCCATCAAACATCTCCTGGCATGTCTAGGAGATATTAAAGCTTGGTTGGCCTTGAACTTCTTAAATTTTAAAGAAAATAAAACAGAGGTGATGGTGTTTGGACCCAGTGGCTCCTGTGAGTCCTCCTCTGTGGACCTGGGACCCTTGGAGGTATATTTTAAACCTGTTATTACATATCTTGGTTTTAAGGTGGACAGTGATTTTAAATTAGACACCCAAATCAAAGCCGTGGTTAAGTCCAGCTTTTATCATTTAAGGCGATTGGCGTCAGTGAAATCTGTTCTTTCCAGGCAGCATTTTGAAACAGTGATCCACACTTTTATTTCAACTCGTTTGGATTACTGTAACTCACTTTACCTGGGAGTCAGTCAGTCACTGCTCTCACGTCTGCATCTGGTTCAGAATGCTGCTGCACGACTTTTGACAGGAACTCGGAAGAGGGAACATGTGACCCCTGTCCTGGCCTCACTTCACTGGCTGCCTGTATATTTTAGAATTCATTTTAAAATTCTTATGTTTGTTTTTAAATCACTGCATAATCTTGCCCCGGCTTACCTCTCTGAGCTTCTTCATCCCTACGTACCTTATCGGTCTCTCAGGTCAGCAGATCAGCTGCTCTTGGAGGTACCGAGAACAGAAAGGAAGCTCAGAGGGGACAGGGCTTTCTCTGTCATCAGCCCTAAATTATGGAATGACCTGCCTTTGCGGGTCAGAGAGGCCCCTTCACTGCCCACTTTTAAAGCTCGTCTTAAAACCCATGTATTTTACTTGGTTTTCAACACCAGCGGGATTTAGTTTTAAATTGTATGTTTTTGTTTTTAAACTGTTTTTAATCACTTTTTTATTATGTTGTGTTTTAATGTACAGCACTTTGTATCAGCTGTGGTTGTTTTAAAGTGCTTTATAAATAAATTTGGTATGGTATGGTAAGTCAATCCTGGTGGCGAGATCTTCAAGTTCACATAGGGATTGAGGAGGGTCTCGAGCTGTCAACTCGTCTTTGATGTCATCATTAAGTGACTGGAGGAAAACATCCTGGAGGGCCTCCTCACTCCATCTGCTGTCAACTGCCAGTGTATGAAAGTCAATAATGAATTCAGTTACTCTTTTATTACCTTGTTTGGGGTTCAGTAATCCTCTGGTGGACTCCTTGTGGAGTAAAATGGGACAGAACACCCTCAGCAACTCTTGAGCAAAATCCTGGTAACGATAACAAAACAGAGAGTCCCGTTGCCATTCAGCCGTTCCCCACAATTTGGGTTTGCCAGAGAGGAGGGAAATGATGAAGGCCACCTTAGCTCGGTTTGTAGGAAAAGAGGAGGGTTGAAGTTGAAAATGGATCTCACATTGGGCCTCATGCAAGAACCGTTCGTACGCACAGATTTGTTCTTATGTTGTGCGTACGAGGGATTTAGGAGAATTTGTGGCATTCACCAATGTTTTCGTATTCTAAGATTTTTTTCAGATACGAACAAAATACAGGAGTGGTCCAGACCTGTCGTATATTTTACCAGCAGTCAGTCTGCTGTTATCCAGACGGGTTTTCTTCACTAAGAACTTTATACTTCGTTATTTAGAAAATATTTCGATTTGAAAACAAATCACACTCCATAATTATGTTGACAGCAGGTTATTCTGTTTTAATTAGAATAAGATTTTAATGACAAAAATTGATTAGATTAAGTTAAATTGTATTTTAATGCATTTGTACAACACTACAATATTAATATGAAGATCTCAAACTAAAAAACTTAAATTATGCATTAATTGAAGTTTGGAGACGTTTTAAAATGTGTCTTTTCAGAACCGCATCTGTCACTTGCAACCGCAGGGAGAGGGGGGATAGCGGTGCGCAACCACCCTTCTTCTGAATAAATGTAAACACAGTAGCACAGTTGTTTACACTTAGATTAAAAAATATTTGACCAAAGAAAAACCGGAGCTGGACTAGAGAGAGATGAATATGATTTAGATTTTTATTTCTGTGACTGTAAYGACTAACAGGAGACACGACATTAACAGCACATTTCATTCCTTTAAGCAGCTCCTTTAATGCCACATGACACTGCTAAAGAGAACAATTTTTTTCTCGATCTCGGAGAGCAGGACTACAATCTCCGAACGCGTAAAGTTCTTCTTTTTTACTTTGCAATGTCATTTATGAATGGACACTTCCTGGTATGTGGGGCTGGAAACACAGCCTTATATGGTGTTTTTGGGGTGGTAATTATGTAAATAACCTCTTCTCGTGCACGAGCAGCTGGATACGAACAGGTGGAATTTACGCAGCTCATTTTACACACTTTTCCTGAAGATAGAAGAGTTTGTTGAATCTGACGTGGCGTGTTCGTACGAACCCTTTGTACGAACAAAAGTAAGAGAAATTTAGGATAAGAATATGAACATGTTCTTGTATGAGGCCCAATGAGTGAGAAAAGCCCAACATTTTTCTGGGTCTCCTCTAAAAACCTCGGAGGACTTAACCTGGGTTCGTAAACTGGATCAGATCTGTTGGTACTAGTTTGTTGAGGTAAAGGGTGTTGACAAGGAGCAGGGTTATCAGGATTCAAAGCCATATCTTTATAATAGTATAACAGAGTTCATTTACAGTGTTTTCTAATTTATTTATAGCTCCTTCCACACCAGCTTTCCAGGCAGAATCGGGTTCAAAGCTCATATTGCTGGCCAGTTTATCTGTTAAAGATCTGAGTTTGAACTCTGAGAAAAACCCAAAAACAGATAAAGGTTTACAAATTTTATTAAAATTGCTGGTGTGGAGCTGGAACAACCCAGGTACGTGGGTCCGGTTTTCGGGACACAGAAAAACAGGTTAGTGGTTGTAAGACTCTGGGACAAAATACTACAAGTATTTTTAGCCACTAACCTGGTGTCAACTGGGAGTCTCAGTGTGGAAATACAGACTGTGTCAGTTTGGTTCCAGAGAAATACGATGACGTCACCGACAAACCTTGGGAGCATTGCGGGTCCGAGAAATAGGTCAGGGGTCCAGGGACAGACGAGGGTCATACACAGAGGGATCAGAGAATCCAACAGGTTAAGAGGAGCAAACTTAACTCTTTAATCCGGGAGGCAGGCAGGGGTCGAGAACCAGGAAGTCTGAGGTTTTGTGGTGCCGAGCAAAGGAGAGATATTTTCCAGTAATAAATCTCGCAGCTCTTTTCTGTAATAAAAAGAGGATTTGTAATTGTCCTACACACTTTCCCCCCAGACCTCAATACAATAAACCAGGTGTGGACTTATTGTTGAATATACGACATATACAGTACAGAGTTTTATCATTAAATAACTCACTTACTTTATACAGAACAGCAATAGATTTAGCCATCTTTGTTCTTAAATAATTTACATGAGGTTCCCATGTCAGCCCTTCATCTTTCACTACACCTTAAAACTTCACTTCACTGACTCTACAAATCTCAACCCCCTCGACTTTAAATGGGACATCAATGGTTTTCTTTCTTTTACTAAACACCATATAATTAGTTTTCTCTAAATTTAATGACAACTTTTTAAGTCTGTAAGGGTCAGCTTACACTTCTTATAACAAGGTTATTAGAGTAATTTAATTCGCAAGGATCTCTTATTGTGGATAAACATTTCTTTAGTGCAAAAATGAATGGACACAAAAAGTAATTCTCAGTCAATAAATGTTGATTTGAACCGTAATATGCAATCATTTTACAAATCATTCGAAATTGACTAGAATCCACCTGATTGTGAACAATTCATTTCATATAAAAAGTTTTGGGACCAACAATAACAAGCTTTTAACTTCTTAATTGTCAACCACACAAATAGAAACACAAATGTCAGTTTAGATGTTAAATACCAGACATTTGAGGCTGTTTATCTTAGGAGTTGGCAAGGACAAGGTTAAAAAAAGGAGGAAGAAAGATATTCGCTTTCCTATACTTTATCTTAAATAATGTGGGTTATAATCAGAAGGGCGAAGCGTTCTGTGCTCAGCTTCGATCAGACCTCGACGTCACACACAGCCAGCTTTTACCTTGAGATGATGTTCTGTCACCTGCCAGGTAGATGGGGGCGCTGCTGGAGAATCTGTCTTTAGACCATTGAACAGGGGACCCCAAGGCGTGCTCTTTGACTCGTTTAGCGTCCACGTCAGCCGTAACCAGAAGACAAGGCCTCGACTAGAACCCAGGTTTTTAATAAAACTTCCGTCTGGAGAGTTTCTGAAGGTGGATAAACCAGGTGTTGGTCTCCCACACTGTGAGGTTTCCCCGTTGGCGTGAAGGGGCCAAACCTGACACAGTTTTCAGCTTTTGATTCCCCGGAGAGAATCTAGCTGTCACAGTGACTGACAGCGGTCAGTCACCTTTACTCTCTGTCTTTTCTCAGTGAGTGCTCTTGACGGGCGGAAACTGTTAGTTCCTAAAAGCTTAGAGAATCTATGGTCCCCCCTCCAGAAGGTTAGATTAGAAAAGAAATTATCAAAGAAAAGTGTTAGTTTCAGAACTTGCTATGCCATTCTGAAACTAAAACAAAGATTATTTGCTGCTGTTTGGTTCAGAACAAAACATTTCATGACCTACAGTATTTAAATTATCTGACGAGCACTTATTTAAAACATAACTGAAAGAAAAATGAATTACTTCAAGTTCAAAACATTTGCAAATATGATTCAGACAAGTAAAACTGACATTTCATCAACTTAAACCATAAAGATTATTTTAGTTAAATAAGAACTTTTTCCACAGTAAAACCATACATAGCTGAAATCATACTGAGGGAGAAAAGAGATCTGTCCTCTCTTCTCCTGTAACTTTGATAAACATTCTCTGATTATCAAAATGCGTAATACTTTCAGTTAAGAGAACAATAATTCAAATAAGAGAAGATTATTCTGTTTTTATCTGATTTAGAAGGAAAGTAGCCTGGGGTGGCCTGAAAACAGTTCTAAGTGGAACAGAGTTTTGTCCATTAGAAGGCCCATCAGAGGACTGAGAGTCCAAGATAGTTCCTTGATAATTTGACTCAAGGTGACCCCAACACGTCTAAACCAAATTTGTATTTTAACAAATTATACTTGCATCTTTACCAACATATGATATACAGCGGGTAAAATAAGTTTTGAACATGTCACCATTTTTCTCAGTAAATATATTACTAGACGTGCTAATGACATGAAATTTCCACCAGTTGTCGGTAACAACTCAAGTGATCCATACATTCAAAGAAATAAACCATAAATATCCAGAAATTAAGTTATTTGTAATAATGTGGAATGGCACAGGGAAAAGTATTGAACACATGAAAAAAGGGAGGTATAAAAAGGCATGGAAAGCCAAGACACCAGCTGAACTCTCTCAGTAATTAGAAAACAAGCCTGCCCCTTGTCAGTGCAA